AACTTGATATCTAAATAAATATTTCTTTATTGTAGGTGAAATGCTTGAACTATCAGAAGCTATTTGGTAAGCTGTGACTCATTATGCATGGTTGTATATATATATATTGCATTAGCTTCAAAAATTGTATGATAGTTATATCGTACCATGTGAACCAGATGACTGTAAATTGGGAATATTTACCGATGGGGTTCAGACCTGTTTTAGCAAAGAAAACCAGAAAAGAAGAAAGAAAAAGAACAGAGGAGGAAGGGAAGAGAAGGAGAGAGGAGGACAAAAGAATAAAGAAAAGGGTGCAGAAAGACAAATGATGGGAATACTCCTGTAGCCAGTAACATTAGAAAGACAAATGCTAGCTAACAGCATCATAGCAGCAAAATAACATCAAAAATAATAAACTGGTGGAACCACAAACTGATTAATATTTTTCTCTACACAAAGCATAGAGCTCATCTATTGACTCAACCATTTACTCAGAACGGTTTTCTTTCATAGAAAAAGAAGTATAAGGGAATCCCTTGAGTAATCTATGGATTCCTAACCATGAAAGCTAAGCAGCATGCCTTAGGAGTTTTTTTTTTTTTTGATAAATAATAGTTTTCAATTATCTTTCAATAAAAATGTTCTGAGTTTTATTGATAAAGATACAGAAAAGAGTATTACAAAGTTGTTTCACACATCATCAGGTAATTCCTCAAAGGTGGTTGTTAGCCTTGGTTAACCACCTCATCTAGGATCCTTTACATCTTCCTCCCTTTGGGGTATATGTCCTCAAAACATCCGATTTCTTAATGCCGCCTGATTTTTTAAACCATCTCCTAGTCCATTTGAAGATCTTGATACCCATGTAACAGTAGCCCTTAATTCCTTCATGATTTCTTTTATCTCCTTAATTACGTGCTTGTGCCTCCATGAGAAGGCCCCTTCTTCAGAGGGAAGAAGGGGTAAGCTTACTTCTTAGAATACCAACTTCTTCCACATGATTGAAAACTCTAGAAGAAGAAAAAACTCAATTAGGAGGTTCGTGGTGGAGTAGAATATCAAGGAGGGCACAGTGAGGTACTTAGAATTATTTTTTTGAGGTACTTCTTAGAATTATATAAGGAAAGTTGGAAGAGGGGACCGAATCTGGATGGTATATGCAGGTAAATACCTAGGTAAGAGCTGTTTGGCAGGTACAAATTTGGCGGAGGGAGTGGTACAAAGATAAGCTGATTTTTTGGGTTGTTCAACATTGCAACAATGGCTGGTTATGTATTTTGGTCTACCTCTTGGTGGCAACCATAGATCCTTAGTGTTTTGGAATCTAGCGGTAGCCTTGGTGGATAGGTTCTCTAAAAAGCTGGCTGGGTGGAAGAAGAATTCCATCTCACCAGGGGATGAATCACCTTAGTTAACTCACCTTGGTTAATTTACCCATTTATTTGTTTTGAGAATAAATAAAAAAGAAAATTCATCATATTCAAGATACAATCATGGTTGAAAGTTTCGATACGTATCAAGAGTTTTCCGATATGACCCTACAATGGATGTTTCGGGTCAGACCATGGTCCAAGGGGTAAGTAGGTCTTAAACCGATCCTTCTGAATCAGATTAAAAAACTAAAAGAGGAAAAACAAGCCTCAGTACAGGCCGATATACCCCTATCAGTGGTTGTATCAATATTTTGAACTTTACAACACCAGGCGATGAGAAATCACTGAAAGGAAAACAAAAAACAAAAAAACAAAACACCACCACACCCACCCACCAACAGACCTTCATTGCCTCTCCCAAATCAACCCAGCATACAACAAATAACTCAACATGGGCCCACTCTCAACAGTAACTTCACCCAAACCGACCCACTTCAAAAAAGTCACACCCTACCAAAAGAGTAAACCTAATTCCAATCCACTTCTTTTAAAACACTCCTTTCAGACATCCCTAGTGCTTATTTGGGCCATTAAGTACTTATTATCTTATTGGTATTTGGGAATTAAGTCTGAAATAAGTGCTTATTTTAAAAATAATGGCTTATTTTTTAAGCCCAAATTTGCAACTTTTTTTAAGTACTTATACATGTTCAATTTTTTTCTTCCAAAATTATCCCTACTTGAATTTTAAAATACCACTTATAAAATTATCCCTAGTTGAATTTTATAAAAGTACTTTTAAGAAAACATTTTTATGAAATCACTTTTATAAAACTACTTTTATGAAAGCATTTTTATGAAAGTATTTTTACAAAAGTACTTTTATGAAAGTACTTTTAAGAAAGCAATTTATAAAAGTAAAAGTACTTTTATACAATACCTTTATGAAAGCACTTTTATAAAAGTACATAAAAGTGTTTTTGTAAAAATACTTATATAAAAGTGCTTTTGTAAAAATGCTTTCATAAAAATACCTTTATAAAAATTATTTCATAAAAATGCTTTCATAAAAGCACTTTTATAAAAGTACTTTCATAAAAGAACTTTTATAAAAGTACTTTCATAAAAGCACTTTTATAAAAGTACTTTCATAAAAGTATTTTTATAAAATTACTTTCACAAAAGTGTTTTTGTAAAAACATTTTCATAAAAGTGTTTATAAAAGTAATTTAATAAGAGTGATTTCAAAATGTATATTTTAAGATTTTAAAATAAAATGAAAGACACAATAGTCACAAATGCTTATTTAAGTGCTTATTAGAGAAAAAGATTACCAAACGCCCAATATAAAATAAGTTAAAATAAGCACTTGAAAAAGTTGGGTGCCAAATGCAAATAAGTGCTTATTTAAATAAGGCCCTGTTTGATGATTAAGTACTTGTTAAAAAAAGTAATTATTTCACAAGTACTTCTTAGAAGTACTTATTTTAACAATCACTTAAGGCTGCTTGGTAACCCACTTTTCAAATCACTTATTATGTTTTTAAATACTTATTGGGGTGGGAATGTTTGGTAAGCTACTTTCCCCATAAGTGCTTATATTGACACAAATGACAATTTTATCCCTCACTTCACTCATACATATATACAATGCTTTCACATGTTATACTATACATTTCAATTGATGGTCCACGTGGACTGTCATGTGGATCCAATTAATAATAATAATAATAATAATAATAATAATAATAATAACAACAACAACAACAACAACAACAATAATAATAATAATAAATAATCATAATAATAAAAAGTAATAATTATAAATAATAATAATAACTAATATTAACAATAAAAATAATCATAATCATAATAATAACAATTATTATTATTATTATTATAAACAATAATAACTAATATTAACAATAATAATAATAAGACGATGAATAGGGGGGAGGCTATCGCCGCTGCAACTCCCCTATTCTCCCTTCGAGCGACAGAGAGCATCGACAACCTCTCCTTAGTCTTTCTCTCCCCCTCTCTCTATCTCTCCTTTTCTTCTTCTTCTTCTCTTTCGTTTTTGTTCTTCTATAACCACCGAACCACGAACAAGATATTGTTCATCTTCCTCTCCATAAGAGAACCAGCAGCGACTGAATGTCTCTCTTTCGGTTCTTTGACACCCGAACGACAGCGGTGACCAGTTCCCTTTCTCCCTCTAATTTCATTCTATTATCCCATTCTCTCCATCTTTCCCTCTCTTCTTGTTCCCTATCCGTCCTCTTTTCTTGTCGATTAAGTCATAGTTCATCGCCATTGTTGACGATAATAGAGGTGTTGCAACAGCGGGATTCCCCCTTCATTTCTGCAATAACCCAGCGTGGAAGTTTCATCACCGAATAAAAGAATTCGATGGAGAGCCCACTTCATTTCTGTCCACCTCGGGATCATCCTCTGCCATTGGTAGGAATTTGAGAATCTGAAGTCAAGTTCAATGAAATCTCCTGTCACATCGATTCAAGAAGACGATGAACAGAAAGAAAATCTCCTTTTATCGCATTAGGAAAGAGAGGGGGATAATCAGGATAGGTAAGAGAGAATGAGAGAGGAAGAATGAAAGTAAACGTTGTGTTAATGTCAAGGGGAAGAAGATGATGAATAGTGCTTTTTGGGTACAAGGGTATTTTAGGCATTATAAAAATTTTTTAGGGACTAGTTCATCCTTTTTTTGGAGTACTTCAAGATGTACATAAAAAAAGCTAACTTGAAGTTAGTTTTTTAAAGTACTTTTAAAAAAAAAAAAAGTACTTCCCCACTTTTTTACCAAACGCCCATTAGTACTTAAAAACCACTTAATGTATGGTCCCATGTCTTAAAATAAGTACTTCAAAGAAGTACTTGTTAAAGTACTTCTTTGAAGTGTTCTCAAACAAGGCCTAAGCACTTGTTTAACTTAAGCACTCCCAAACATGGCCTTAATATATACGGATTTACAAAAGATGGAAACATCACAAACAAGGGTTTAGACCAAATTAGGCAAGTGGTTGACTGAGCAACTATTCCCATCTCAATTTCTTGCACAAAAAAGACTAGATCTGGATTTAAAGGGGATAGTCTCTTGATCAGATTGACTTACCAAATACATACGGCAATTTTCCCAATTTCCCCAATCTCAGTGGAGATCTCCCAAAATGGGCAAGGATGGGGATGATTCCCCCACCCCCACAGGGTCGGGGATGGGAAAATTTTCATCCTGTTAGAAGGGCCAGGGAGAACACTCCCCACCCCACAAGGACCCCAATCCCTGCCCAGTGGAATCCCCATTAATGTATATATGTATATATACATATATATGAATATGTTATACATGTACACGTACATCTATATATTAATATTTTTAAAAATATTATTGAATAACTATGATAGTAAATTTTAATTATTTTATTTTTATTCTATTAAATAAAATAAAAAACAAAAAAATGATTAATATTATAAAATATCATGAAAAATGGGGATGCCATTGGGACAAGGATGTGAAAACCTTGTCATCGTTAGCAGGGACGGGGACAGGGATGGGGAGTGGCTACCCGCCACGCCTCATTACCATTCCTAAGTACCAGAATAATATTCTTGAGCAACCATGAATTATGGGTAAAACGATCGCCCCACTTTTTACTGATCATTTAATATTTAACTATTTCATCATGGTCCAAAATTCCATTTAAGCAACCAAACCAGCAAAGTTTGTTTAATAACAAAAGTTCTCAATGCCTCTAAATAACAAAATTTGATCCACAAGAAACAAAAGATGTCCTTTAAAGTGAAGTTGAAACGATTAGTCACATCCTTCAGCAACGAACCCCTTTACCGCTCTGCTCAAGAAGCACTTCTTAGAGCTTGAGCCTTGTTGGGTTTCCTTGGAGCTAACTGAGTCTCAGGCTGCAAAACAAAAAGATCCAAAAACAGGAAAATAATTAAATACAATGGTAGTCCTATTAAGACGCAACAAACCACACTATTCTTTCCCTATTCCTTTCACTAATGCTCTTGTTCTTCTAATAAACCAATAATAGTAGTTACCTCTTTCTTTACAGCTTCTTCCTTTTCGGACAAGATCAACTCAATGTGGCAAGGAGAAGACATGTAGGCTGCCATACAAAACAACAGTCACATTTAAAAGCCACTGACCAAAGTTAAAAGATGGTAGCATTTAATAACAATTCAACAAACTCACGGTTGATTCTCCCATGAGCTCGGTAAGTGCGGCGCCTCTGTTTCTGAGCCTGGTTCACCTGGATGTGGGAAATATATAATGAATCCACATCCAAACCTTTCACCTGGAAAAGAAAGGGTGACATTAGAATTTAGATAGTTAACTAAAAATTTGAAAAAGAAGACAAAATCAATAACCAGCTAGAATCAAACATACATCTGCATTACTCTCAGCATTCTTAAGCAAATCCAGAATGAATCTGGCAGACTTAACAGGCCAACGTCCCTGTCCATTTGGATGACGGTTCTTTGCTTGAGCAGTTCGACCAACACCCCCACAGAAGCGTTGGAATGGAATGGCTTGCTTGTGGGCCAACACATCCTCCAAATACCTTTTAGCCTTGGCCAAAGGCAACTTCCTAATTGCATGGGCAGTCTCTCTAGTGTTCTGAGATGGCAAAGAATAGAGCATGAATTTAAGATTTTCAATTTGATAGAATCAAAAAATTGAAAATAAAACACGACAAATGCAAAAGGATGAACACGCATGCAGTGTTGGCCCTAGCAAAGATTACTAAAACACATCAAAGGAAAATGCATTTATTTTAATTTGTTGAAACAAAAATGAAATCATGACCAAAACCAACTCTCCCTTCAAATAGCTGATTATCATCATTAATTTAGGTCATGTTTGGTTCAGCTCCCATTCTTTCTCATTCTTACCCAAGATGAAATTTTAAGATGGAAAAGAATGAATAAAAATAGGAAAAATGAGAAAATATTGCTATGGACCAAACGCTTTTTCCTAAAAAATGATCTTTTTTTGCAGCAAGAATGATAGTAAAATCGGTAACCTGTTAGATAACAAATTTCATTCTCATTCATTTTTTCCATATTAAAAATAATAACATATAGTATACATACAACACTCAATAGCAAATATTTATCATGGAATCATGTGGGCCCAACATCAATAACACTATGGAAAATGACAAAAAACTTTAGAAGCTTTTGCACATTGTTTCATCACGAAAATATTAAAAAAAAAATTAAAAGAAGCAATATCTAACATCAATTGTGCATCTCCCTCCTCTTTCAATCCCCTCCAAAGAATGTGTTCATTAATAAAGTGATCTTTTTTGTATCAGCTGCCTACCTAAATTGGCAGTCTCAGAAAGAAGCCTATTCTCCAAATGTCACGTCCAACTGTATTTGGGAAGAATTCTGGGTATACAAGTCAAATAGAAACCTGAACTGACATATAGTTCAAATTTTTGTTATTAGCTCAATGTAACCAAAATTGTCTACACCTGATCTGACTTGAAACCATACTATATAAATTTATATTCTAGGCTTCTAGTTTTGCAAATTATGTTTGACATTGAGTTGGGCTAGCCCAGTTTCTGATTCAGTATTTAGATTAAAATTTTGATGTTTTTTCTGGGTTGATTGTTTTCTGCTAAGGAGGGGTGGGTGGGGTGGATTTTCTCTTTTTTTATATAGGGTGATCTCTGGTTACCTTCCTTGTATCATTCTCTTTTTCTTTTTAATAATTTTTATTTTATTGCCAAAAAAATGTAAATGAAAGAGAACTAAACATATCATTGGTTTATTTTGGTCTCATATTAACCACTAACTGCAATTTAAAACTCTTGAATTATGACCGTTTGAAAATACGCATTTTAATGGAGAGATGCCATAAAATTTCAAGGCAGGAGCTTTTATCATTCAGAATTCAGATTACCAAAATCAGAAAAAGGGAAAAACTGGTTTATTGATCTGTTGTTTTCACACTTTCAGAGGCTTGGGGGTGCTGATTCTCGTTCTCCGCAAGAGAGATGAGTTGAAACTTAGGCCTTAGTTGCCCATTCTTTCTCATGCATTCTTGCCCATTCTTGCCCAGCAAACCAAGCATGGCCTTAGTTGCTGCTTATTTTCAGGGTTTCAACAAAGATATTGTACCATTATATGGTCATTTAAAACATTTTTCTGAGGAAGGGCATGTTAGAACCCCTATTGATGCAAAAACACCGTGTGCAATTTATATGCTACCACATTAGCACTAGTTCAGAACAAATGAAAGAATCGCCAACAAAGCATCATATAGTGTCATAGTGTAACATCATTTACTGAACCTTCGGAACCCTGAAGTTTACGAGAGATTCATTCAAATGGGCAACAGGACCCTGCTTTTATCATCAGGTGTATAAATCAATACAATGCGAAATCAATTCTCAATGCCAGCGTCAGAAGTAATTCCTACAACTCCATCAGTCATAAGAAAAATACCCTCATGCAGTTCAATCAGCAGAGCAAACGTACTTATAAATCCAGCGATTCAATGTCAATCATCCTAATTAAAAGTTAATAGATGAACAATCAAAAATCACCAACAAAGTATCAAATAGTGTCTATAATGTACCATCATTTACTGAACCTTCTGTCATGAAAGATATAAACAGCGGTTCACCCAATAACAATGTAAATAATTTCCCTGAAGTTTACGAGAGATCCGTTCACATGGGCAACAGAACCCTGCTTTTATCATCAGGTGTATAAACCAATCCTTAACACCAGTGTCAGCAGTAATTTCTAGCAAAAGGATTCATTAACTAAATAAGTATGACAATTTATCAGCATAACAGTTGAAAATCAAATAAGGAGAAGAAAATGCTAATAGTCTAATACTACATAAGTATAGATACAACTCCATCGACCATGAAAAAATACCCTCACGTTCTCATACATCCAGACACTCAACCATCCAAATTATAAGTTAAAGAGATAGTCAAACAACACATTCCAACTATCTCTTGCAAGATAAGAAAACGTTGAGAAATAAAAGTTTTAATCCTACAACAAATAGATACAATCATCCCATTTATACTTTTGGCCTTTCGGACTCTAGCAACATGTCATCACCAATTGGATATTGAATCATGTCACTGTAGGAACCATCAAAAGAGAACCAATGGTGAAAAATAATAACCAGTTTTCCTATAACCCCAGATAATAAGCTAAGACCCACAATTCATTTCCATATGTTTACAAATATAACAATAACGACGCTAGTATTGCAAACAAAACCATGACTTTGTTTTGGTAAGCAAATAAAAACAATGACGGAGAATCATATCAAAGTTCACATCAACAAAAGAAAAGAAGAGACATGACAACAAGTTCAGAWCAACACACCTTGAAATGAACTCTCAGATCCGAGCCCCTGGCCTTACAGGCTGCAAGATGAATGTCAGAAAAACAAATCAGAAAACATGAATTAAAAACAATCGAAACCTGGACAAATTGCATTTCCAGCGAATAAAATTTACAAGCGACAAGAATATGAAGTAAAAAACTTTAGAGTGTGAGGGTGCAACGTAAAATGACTTAATGAAAGCATTTTGCAGTTCAATAGTACTTTGAAAGCAACTAGAAAACCAGAGAAAATGGCTTTTGAATGCTTACACTTGGTAGGGTTGTCCGGTTCCCTGGAATACTTCACCTAAAAGATAGAAAGAAAATTGGAAAGCTGAATAAGAAGATTTGAAGAATCATATACGAAGAACAAAGAAGATAAACACAGAATAAGCTACCATGACTGATCTGCTGCGAATGATATGAAACTGCAGCACGATGTGTCTTAGTCCCCAAACCAACCGAACTCCGAAAGGGCTTCTGCGGCTGCTTCAACCCTCTTAAACAATAAAGTGAAACCCTAACCCTACGATTGCATCAAATAGGGTTTCCAGAAAAATCGAACCGAACCGAATAACCGTACTGAAAATCCGATTAACCAAATTAATCGATTCGGTATTTCAATATAACCCTTATAATAAAAGAGACAATTCAGCCTTTCAGACTTTCAGGCTCTCTCTTTCGTCAATAAATCGAATTTTATTTTCCCAGATTTAATCGGACAGTGAAATCAAAAGAAATCCACCCAAATTTATTTCTATAAACGCAACATATACCGCTCACGGATTATATGTGTCGGATCCGATCCAATTGACCCGAACTGATTAGGGCGGTTCTGGACTTCTGGTTTCAAGAACTGAAACCTACGGATCGGTTCTGGGTTCTGACATAACATTCTGATTATTATTGGTTCGGAACCAGTTCCATCCCGTCCGGAACCGATCCAGACCTGCTCCAGTTATATTCATATAATACATAATATATAAAATAAATTAAATATAATTACATATAATATAATATATATTTATTTATTTAATATATATATATATATTTATTTAATATATATATATATTAAATGCATTTATTTATTTATTATAATCAGGTCCATCCGGTCATACTCCATTATCCTGATAACCGATTAGTTAAGTTTTGGGTCTTAGAAATACAGACCTCATCGGGTCCAATTTGGTTCAAAACCTTCAAACTTTTCTATCGGATTGGTTCCGATTCTAGCTGGTACTAACCCAAACCCGACCCATTGACAGCCCTAATTCTCTATCAAACTTTCTTTTAGTGGCATCTTTAAAGCACTCAATTAAAGCAAGTGATAACGCATAACCTTGACTTTCTTTAGCAAATATTATATTCACTTTTCTCTTGAGGGGATTGCTTAGATTTATAATCTTGAGCTATAATACATATTTTAATATTTCTTTTTCTCAAAAAAATTTCTTTAAAATTTTGAAAATGATAACCATAGTAAAAGAAACCTTTGAATAGTGAAAATCCAAAAGCAGAAAATGAATAAAGCCCATAGTAACATACCACACATGGAAAAAAAACAAAAAAATAACAAAAGCAGAAAATGAAAAAAAAAAAACATACCACACACACTCGAATAAAGCCCATAGTAAAAGAAACCTTTGAATAGTGAAAATCCAAAAGCATAAAAAACCATGGTTATTGAACCGTCGTTGACCCGGACGGATGGACATTTCAGCCTGGGAACTGTCCAGGCAATCGGTTTCGTTTTACCCCAATCCCGGTCCCTAGCCAAAAATCGTTGAATCGGTCAATGACCCATTGACCCAGGTTGTCGAACTGCCAACCCGTTAACCTTTTCAATGGTTTTTTGCCATTTTTACTTTTAATTGGGAATCATCGAGGTAGTCGGTTATGTTTTATCCCAATCTTAGTCCCTAGCCAAAAACCGTTGAATCAAGTAATGACCCATTGACCTGGACTATCGAACCATCGACCCGTGAACCCGTTCGATGGTTTTTTGCCATTTTTATTTTTAAAATTTTTGTTGTCAAAACGGGTCGTCCATTCGAATTGGATGTTCAAACCATCAACTCGAAAACCGGTGGCCAAAACGGTTCTATTTTTGAGTCATATGAGTCACACGCTCGAATGACATAACACATATGATATTGCTTAATGGACCTCACACACTCAATTTTTTGCCTGTAATTTTTGTTGCCAAAACAGGTCATCTGTTCGAACTAGACGGTTGAACCGCCGTTTTTTTATTTATTTTTAATTGGTAACCGTCTAGGCAACCGGTTTCATTTTACCCCAATCCCAGCCCTTGGCAAAAAATCATTGAATCAATCAACAACCCATTGACTCGAGCGGTCAAACTGTTAACCCGTTGACCTGTTCAATGGTTTTGGCCTTTTTTATTCTTTTAATTTTTGTTGTCAAAACGGGTCGTTCGTTCGAACCGGACAATCAAACCGCCAACCCAAAAACTAATGGCTAGAATGGTTCCATTTTCGGGTCGTATGTGTCACATGCTCAAATGACATAACACATATGATACTACTTAATGGACCTCAAACACTTTTTTGCCTATAATTTTTGTTGTCAGAATGGGTCACCCGTTTGAACCGGACAGTCAAACCATCGACCCGGAAACTGGTGACAAGAACGGTTCCATAATTTTTTGCCTGTAATTTTTGTTGTCAAAATTGGTCGTCCATTCGAACTGGACAGTCGAACCATCGACCCAAAAACTGGTGGCAAATAAGATATACAAAGTTTCTTATGTTTGTTTCTTGTAATTTGAGAATTTTGAAGAATCTTTAGTAATTATAATGGATTTGAATTACTGCCATTATAACTGTTAGTAATTTTGCCCGTAATTTTTGTTGTTAGAACGAGTTGTCCATTTGAACCGGAAGGTCGAACCGTCAACATGAAAATCGATGACCGGAACGGTTCCATAAGTTTTTGCCTATAATTTTTGTTGTCAAAATGGGCCATTTATTCGAAGCAAACGGTCAAACCATCAACCCAAAAATCGGGGGCAGATAAAATATATAAAATTTCTTATGTTTATTTTTTGTAATTTGAGAATTTTGAAGAATCTTTAGTAATTATAATGGATTTGAATTACTGCCATTATAATCGTTAGTAATTATAATCAATAAATTTAATTAGTAATTAAATAAATGCCATATAATCGTTAGTAATGATAATGATTAATAATAAAAATTAAAAATTCAATGAGTAATTAAATTAATGCCATGTGGCAAAAGGGGAGACAACCCCTTTCGTGTATATATATACAAGGCTATGTGCTCTACATATTTGCATTAGTACTCCTTCTAGACCAAGGTATCGTTTGACAAATCTGAAGCGTAAAAAGTTAAAAAGATATTAAAAGTGTCTGGAATCTTAAAAGAGACATAATTGTTTTTGAATTTTTAGAGACTAAATAAAGAAGGTTGTTTGAGTTGGATCAAACCTTCAACATCTGAAATTCACTATTTTTACTGTTTTACTCCTAAATTAGACTATTTGGTAATTTTGAGTTCAACTTGTACTATTTCATAAAATAAATTATTAGGTTCAAAATAATATTGAATAATATGAATAAATTATAAAATTAAAAAATAATTTATTAAAATAAGAAAAAAAACAATGGACGACAAGAGTTGTAGCGGCGTCCATAAATGACGGAGGAGTTGCAGCAATGAGAATTGAAGCAGAGGAGTCACTTGCTTAAGACACTTGTCGCTGCTGGTTCGTCGAACTCACTTGTTGAAGGAGTTCGTGGATGGTGAGAATTACAGCGAAGGAGTCACTTGCTTAAGACACTTGTCGCCGCTGGTTTGCCGAAGTCACTTGCAGCGGAGGAGTCGCTGCCGTTGGTTCGCCGAAGTCACTTGCAACAGAGGAGTCATCGACGTTGGTTCGCCGAAGAAGAAGAAGAAGAAAGAAGAGAGAGAGAGAGAGAAAGAAGGTCGGAACTCGCCGTCGCTAGTTCATCGAAGGAGTCACTTGTTGTCGCTAGTTCGCCGCTGCGTCAAGTGGAGAAGATGAACGATGAGAGGAAGAAATGCAAGCATGTTTTTAAGGGTATTTTGGACTTTGAGCCAGGTCTGAAACACATCTGAATGCATTCAGCGCCTTGCCCAAGTCATATTATTTTTAGATCTAAAAATAATTTTCAGATTCAAATTCAGATATACCTTCAAACACCTCTGACGTCTGAAGAGCAACATTTCTATATTTCAGAGGTCTGAAAAGTGTTATCAAACGCCACCGAAGAGCTTGTTCATTTCCTTTTAACTCTTAGGCGGCGTTTGATAAATCTGAAATCTAAATTATGAAAAGTTAAAAAGATATTATTTGTGTCTGAAATCAAAGAAGCATAGGTGCTTTTCTACTTTTTAGAGGCTATGAATCCATAAGTTTGTTTGTGTTTGATCAACCCTTTACCACCTGAAATTCATTGATTTTACTATTTTACCCCTACAACTACTATTTAGAAATCATTAAAATTAAAAAATAATTAATGACTGTAAGAATATTAAAATAATTAATAATTAATAATTAGTAATTAATAACTAATTATTATTGTTGTTGTTGTTGTTATTATTATTATTATTATTATTATTATTATTATTATTATTATTATTACTATTATTATTATTATTATTATTATTATTATTATTATTATTNTTATTATTATTATTATTATTATTATTATTATTATTATTATTACTATTATTATTATTATTATTATTATTATTATTATTATTATTATTATTATTATTTACCTCTTGAGAGAGAGAGAGAGAATCGTCGCCGTTGCAAGTTGTAGCGGCAGTGGTGGGAAGATAGGGGGGAGAGTGAGAGAGAACCATCGTTGTTGATTGTTACAACAGCAGTGTCAAGAAGATAATAGAGAGAGAGAGAGATCGAATGGGATAGGGGTATTTTTTGACTTTATGCCACATCAAAAACGCATCAAGTGACGGGCCTGAATCTTAAAATTTCATATCTGAAAAAATTTTCAAATCATATTTCAAATGCAACACCAAATAAGCATTGCATCTGAAAAGCATATATTTCAGGCATCAGACATCAGATGTCAAGCACCACCTTACCTCTTAAGAGGAATCTTTTAACTTTAAGAGAAAAACGGGTGTTCGTTTCCCCTTAGTTGTGATGTTGCAATGCAATTGTTGAAAGTCTAAGCATTGGTAGTGGTAATGTTTTATAGAATGTTTCCAACTTAACATTTTTACTTTGTATATAGTATAATACATTCTTCTAGCAAAATTATGCATGTTCAATTTTAGGCTCTTTGTATTGCTGATGGATATTCAGATCTTAGAATCATTTTTGTGAATGTGTCTTTATTGTTTTCTTCTTCTCAACTTAAGAAAACTTAGATACATCAAGTGGCAAGGCCAGGAATTTTCTTTATTTTGGGGGGTGAGGGGGGTGGGGGTGGGGGCAAGGCAAGTTATTATAACTTTTTTTTGGCTTATGGT